CTTCCTTCCTTCCTTCCTTCCTTCCTTCCTTCCTTCCTTCCTTTCTTTCTTTCTTTCTTTCTTTCTTTCTTTCTTTCTTTCTTTCTTTCTTTTTCCTTAGAATTTTGCCATAGAGCACGCACACTCTCCAGAGAGAAACAGAGAGAAAGCACTCCCCCCGCCAGGGGAATGGCCATACAGCTCTCTTCTCTATTCTCCTCCTGGGGTCTTGGGCATGCACACACACATGTCCAGGGGAATGGCCATGCAGCCCTCCTCTGTTCTCCTCCTGGGGTTTTGGGCATGCACACACACATGTCCAGCGGGATTCTCAAGCTGCCAGGTCCGAGACTTGAACTTTAGTCAGCTATGTGAGAGTCCAGTGCCCCAACAACCACACCACCTGTTGGCTTTTTGATAAGGAAGTAGGCTTCAGGAAATGGCTACATGGTAGCCTGAGTAATTACCCCATTCTCTGTGGGGTCAGCAGACATTTGGCTCTGTACTTTTTGTTAGAATGTAGTCAGTGAGTGGAAACTGTTGCCCTCCGCTCTAGTTTTGAGTCCTGATGTAGCCAGCTGTTGCCTGTGACAACTTGAGCCACCTGTGACTCAATCTTGGGCCTTCACCTTGTCTGTGTGAAATATCCCTATCTCCTGCCTTACCGCCTTTTCTGTTGCTGGCGAGCCCACACACCCTGTATCAAAACTGAAAGAAAGGAAAGAAAATTCTCTTTAATATATTGTTGATTCTATTCTATTCTATGTGGGGATTTTTTTTTTTTTTTGCATAGAAAAATATGTCATGACCTTTCCCAACAATCTAATATTTGTAAATATTTTATTTACACCTTTTGTACTTATTATATATTTAAATTTTTTTACTTTTATTTATTCATTCTTTTGTTTGTTTGTTTGTTTTAATTTGACCAGAGAGAGACACAGAAAGAGGGAAAGTGAGGAAGCAAGATCCTCTTGGGATCTTGGGCACGCACGCACATGCGCGAATTTAAGCCACTAGGTCCGAGACTCAACCTGCGGTCAACTACATGGGAGTCCAGCGACATAGCCATTATATCATCTGCTGGTCCCATCAGCCTTTATTATTATTATTTTTTAAAAGAGTGTTTCTTATGAAGTGCACGAAGGAGTTTGTTCTGTTCACATTTAGTGTGATGTACTCGCTCTCACTCTTTTCACCGTATGCTGTGCTCACTGTGTGTCGTGGTGTGTTTTTGTCTGGCAGGGGTGTCGGTAGAGGAAGTAGCTGGGGCAGAGGTCCTGAGTCAGCACCCAGCACCCAGCACCCAGCACCCCGGTGTGGTTTATGTGGCTGTGACATCCAGCCCCAACAGCAATGCTGTCTTCACCAGAGCAACTGTTCAGTCTAGTTTTGGGGCTCTTTACTGACTTTGAAACATCCAAGTTGTATCTTCCATCTTTCCTAGCGATTCAGTGAGCTACTCAACACCTGTATTTGTTTGAGCCATTGGGCACGTGTGCTCGCCAGAGAGAGACAGAGAGAAGGAAAGTGAGAAATCATCCCGTGGGGGATGGCCACGTATTCATTCTTTTGTTTGTTTGTTTGTTTTAATTTGACCAGAGAGAGACACAGAAAGAGGGAAAGTGAGGAAGCAAGATCCTCTTGGGATCTTGGGCACGCACGCACATGCGCGAATTTAAGCCACTAGGTCCGAGACTCAACCTGCGGTCAACTACATGGGAGTCCAGCGACATAGCCATTATATCATCTGCTGGTCCCATCAGCCTTTATTATTATTATTTTTTAAAAGAGTGTTTCTTATGAAGTGCACGAAGGAGTTTGTTCTGTTCACATTTAGTGTGATGTACTCGCTCTCACTCTTTTCACCGTATGCTGTGCTCACTGTGTGTCGTGGTGTGTTTTTGTCTGGCAGGGGTGTCGGTAGAGGAAGTAGCTGGGGCAGAGGTCCTGAGTCAGCACCCAGCACCCAGCACCCAGCACCCCGGTGTGGTTTATGTGGCTGTGACATCCAGCCCCAACAGCAATGCTGTCTTCACCAGAGCAACTGTTCAGTCTAGTTTTGGGGCTCTTTACTGACTTTGAAACATCCAAGTTGTATCTTCCATCTTTCCTAGCGATTCAGTGAGCTACTCAACACCTGTATTTGTTTGAGCCATTGGGCACGTGTGCTCGCCAGAGAGAGACAGAGAGAAGGAAAGTGAGAAATCATCCCGTGGGGGATGGCCACGCCACATGCTCCTCCATTCTCCCCTCAGGATTCTGGGCATGCACACACCACGTGCCCAGCATGATTTTCAAGCTGCTGGGTCCAGGACTCAAACTGTGGTCGACTACGTGGGAATCTAGTACCTTAACTAGCACGCCACCTATTGACTTTCAACATCTTCTTAATATTTTTTTTGTTTGTTTTAATTTACTAGAGTTGGTGTTCGTTGCATCAGCTAAGAACGCTGAGTAACACGGGTCCAGATAACACAGTTATTTTTTGTTTTGTTTTGTTTTTCCATTTCATGGGGTATTTCTGCTCCATGGAGTTTTATTTATTGAAATACATATTAGAAACTGAGAAGAGAAAGGCTCCACATCTTAATACCATCACACTGGCAGCGTCTGAACTTCGGAGAGGACACATTCAATCCATAGTGCCCAAGCTTACAAACTCAACTTATAGTTTCAGTTACAAAAGCGTGCGCCCAGTTATCTGACAAACAACTTATAGTTTCAGTTACAAAAGCGTGCGCCCAGTTATCTGACAAACAACTTATAGTTTCAGTTACAAAAGCGTGCGCCCAGTCATCTAACAAGCAAGCAAACAGAAACAAATGAAGGAGGGAAGCAAGGTTGGCCGTGGTGAGGGCCCTAGTCTCTGAAGGAACGGGTGCTCCAGGGACGGACGGTCATCTGGGGTTACGTGGAGATGAGGGTGATGGAGACCCCAGCTGCAAATTTCTGAAGCTGTCTTCCAAATGGGCCAGACTGCTGAACGGCTGCAGGAGAAAGAGAGGAGTGAGGAGCTGCCTGGTGAGGAGCGGGGAGGAAGGGAGGGAGAGGGGACATCGGAAACACTGGCGTGAGAGGAAGGTGGGGCCAGGACGGCCTGGCTCTGGAGAGGTGTGGAGAGTTGTCCAGAGCCTCTAAGTCAATGGAGAGAGGGGACTGGCGGGAAGGGGTAGGGAGGGGGTAGGGAGGAAAGAGGAAGGTGAGGGACAGGAGAGGAGTAACAGGGAGGGGGCCGAGGAAGGGCCGGTAGGGGGTACAAGGGGAGCCTGGCCCCGAGCGGGACAGCTGCCCACCTTGGTCAGGATCCTTGCCAGCCGTCGCTCTATGGCCTCACTGTATTGCTCCAGCTTGTCCCAGCGTGCCAAGGGCTGTCCCTCATGGGCCACGAAGTGTTTCCAGCAGTCGGTGAACTCTGAGGAGGAGGGACCCCAGGCAGGGCTCATTCCTGCCTCCCCTCCCTTCCTGGGCGGTATTCTCTCCCAGGACTCTCCCTTCCAGGTGGTATCAAATCTTGGGGCTTAGCTGGGCCACCCTCTTCCCCACCTGGGGGCTTTGCCTCTGAGAACTTAACCCCCACCGTCCACCCACAGCTCCGGCCCGCCCTCCTACCTCGGAGGTTCATGACAGCCAACTTGATCTGGGATCTGTCCAGGAGCTGCAGCCCCTGCTGGAAGTCCCGCTGCCAGTGGAAGTACAGGCGGGAGACGAAGACCTGCAGGTTCAGGTGGCGTGACTCTGCCATGAATGTCACCAGTTCCTGAGCACAGGACGGGCAGGGGCTCCAGGTGAGGTAACAGGTTAGTTGGTGTTTCTGGTCCAGGTCCAGACTCATTGATCGGATCTTGGCGATAAAGCGCACCTCCGCGTGGCGATGTTTCTAGAGCATGTCCCAGAGTAAAGGAAGGGTTAGAGGGCAGAGGCCAGAGGTCACAAGCCCAGGCTGGGGCTGGGGGTGAAGGGCACGCTCCTGTGGTGTCCCAGGGTCTGAGCCTTGCGGCTCACAGGGGATGGACCTGCCTTCATCCCTCCACTCACTCCCAACCTCCCAGGGCTTCCGTGGGCATGAACCCAGGTCCCAGTGCTCAGAGGGGTCACAGCCTCACTTTGGACACCTTCCCAGGCGTTGTCTGTGGGAGGCACCACCCAGGGAGCTGAAGGCAGGTGTGAGTGGGAGGAGGAGAGGAGGGGCTGCAGGCAGGGGGTGGCAGGGAGGCAGGTGTGTGCTGGGGGGCCTGCAGGAGGGTAGAGGGAGAGCCTGGACGGGGGCAGTGCCTGAGCAGGAGGGCACGTGAACAGTCACCTCTCGAGGGGCAGGCAGGGCTCTGAGAGGCCCAGGGAGGGGCTGTGGCGCTTCTGGGAGATGCTCAGCCCTGCTGAGCCCAGCCCAGGTAGGGAGGTCAGGGACCCAGGGGCATGAGCCAGGTGGTGGCAGGGGTGGGGTGGGGTGGTTTCTAGGTTTGCTCTGCAGGGGTTTTTTCTGCACAGCTGCCGGTTAGCCCAGGAGCCGGCCTGGCACCTTGTTCTGGAGGCAGCCTTTGTCTGTCACAGGGCCTGTGAGCAGGTAGCACAGGTAGGTCCTCCTCCGGAAGCAGGGCTGCGGGACGCGGGGCTGGTTGTTGAAC